GACTCAGCCCCCTCGCTGACCCCGCAGCCCCCTCCTCCACTGCCAGACTCCCCACCACCACACACCTCGTCACTCCCTTCACCATTGCCTGATGTATCTCCACTGAAGACCCCTCCACCCCTCCTGTTCCTGGCATGCCCATGCCCCCCCATCACCCCTCCACCCCCTTCCCCAGGTGCCGTACTCCCCCTTCCCTGCTGCTGCAATAGCAAGTCCAAAAGTCCTGGCCAGGCAATTTGCTAATGTCAGCTGGAGCCCACAACAACCAGAGATGGGATGCCTTACCAACAAGTTACAATGTCAGCTATGGAGGAAGGTCGCGGAACCAAGAATGAAGATGATTCCTAGAACAAGGGATTCACCAGCTAAGAAGAATGGAGAGAGAGGGCATTCCAAGAAAGACTGTAGGACCAACAAGACTCAAAACAAAGATAGGGAAGAAACCCTCAATGCACAATAGGACGGAGTGAGTCAGAAGTTGATCCACAAAAGAGAATGCTGTGACAAATGGACAAATTCACCAAGACATGATAGAACGACACAATATACAACTCTTAATCGCGAAGGACTGTTGATGATTTCCTTTGCTATTGCTGGTGGTATAGAGGATATAAGATTTACGAGCAGGAGGTCAATCCTTCCCCTGGGTTGGAAGTAGTCAATGCCTCTGCTCCTTTTGGTGATACAGGTGAGCGAAGTGCAAATATGGTCTGCCTACACACACCATTTTTCAGAGATGCTGGACTCGGCTTCCAGCTCACATACAGTACATCAACTCTGGGGTTTTGCTTCATATCGATGTTAGGGTTTGATGTTAGGGTTTGATTTCTGAATTGCTTTACAGAATTGGGCTTCATGCCCCGCTTACTATGATCCTATGCTGGGGTAGGGGATAGGGTTTTCCTTTCAGGGGAAATGTATAAATCGATGAATGATGATATACAGATTGGATGTTGTCTTATATGGATTGATGTACATATACAGACAGTTTCTGACTGTAGGACATGATAGGATCATCTGACATAGATTGCTTAACGTGCATGCATAGGTAGTTGGAGACATCAATACATCTCTGCATAGGGCCGCTGGACCTGATTTCCAGCAGATTCATTCACATCATCGTACAGGGACACTGACCCGATTTCCAGCAGATAATACAGACAGATTGGACAGTGTTGGACTGTAGGACATGATAGGTCCATCAGACATAGATTGCTTCCAGCAGATAAGACAGACAGATTGGACAGTGTCCGCCAGACATGGATTGCTTAACGTGCATGCATAGGTAGTTTGATATACCAATACATCTCTGCATAGGGACGCTGGACCAGATTTCCAGCAAATTCATTCACATCACTGGACCCCATTTCCAGCAGATAACTGTACAGGGACACTGGACCCCATTTCCAGCAGATACATTCACAGAACTGTACAGGGACGCTGGACCCGATTTCCAGCAGGTGTAGCCCCCCACCAATAGATGGAGCCTTCGCCGTCGGGACCTACTTACCGGGGATGCTCTTATCACCTCGTTAAGTAGGTTTCCTGTACACGAAGTTTCAGAAGGAAAAAAGAAAAAAAAAACACGACACAATATACAGCAAAATAGAGATTTGTATACAGCTTCGGTAGATCAAACTCGACCTGAGACGACAATAATGATTAGAACTTCATTACAACAATGCTACATCTGCCATGCAACTTAATATGTAAATTTGCTGAGACACTCGACCCGTTTTCCAGCAGGCGATGCTCCCCACAATCAGATGGAGCCGCAGATTCACTTCAACCACAAGTACTTGGCCCGCACATGGAGTTGCTGTGACACCGTGTTGATATGAGTGGATATGGACTGGGGGGTTATGTGCTTTGGAACCAGGGGAATGTGCAGAAATGATTCCGACTGGAACAGGTATGGTGTCGGAGTTCACATTTGGGAGTTGGGGTTGCGGGCACATTTTGTGAGGTAGTAAGATGATATCTCGGCCAGTTGTCTGGGAATAAATCTGGGCGCTGAGATGCGGGAGTTCTGCCGAGCTACAGACGGATTTTTGTGGGTCCGTTTTTCGGACGTAGACTATTGGACTCGATCGGAGATTTGTGGATTAATATTGTGACTGTGGATTCGACCGTGGGATGTGGACCCTGAGGGTGCTATTGTCTTTTGGGACTCAATCTTGGATCACAGGCCTGGAGTAGAACTAGTACGGTATTGACTGATCGTAGGCGGTGTAATCTGTGGACCTATCGTTGGAATTGAACCTGGGTCCTGGGTGCTGGGTTTCGATGTCGGCCGGTTACTTTTTTTCACAACTAGCTCTGAACTGGGTCTATTTAGACAGATAGTACATTCCGGAACTTTCGTAGTTAGGTGCGGAGTTTCGAATACGACTTCTTGGACTTGGAGTGTCGGTGCTCTTAGATTAGTATATATTAGTAGTGTCAGCAGGACATGTCACCGATAACGAAGGCCCCTGACGATCCTGGTTTTGGCGGCCAGGTGAAACCGGTAGGGTCAAACGCCATGTCGTACCTCATGTAATATTTTAATCAGTCGTGTTCGGGACATGGTCTTGTGTTGTCCTCTACTGGTCCTCCTCCCTCATCTCCCTCCGGTTCTCGTCTCTCTTCTCCTAGTCACTTTTCGAGTCGCATGTTTATGATTGTCTATTGTTCGTCAGCCACTGCTTGACAGACAGACCGCACATGGACCGTGGGGCTTCCCGGCACTGCGCTCGGTGGCTGCCCAACCAAACTCCCGGTCGGTCTGTTAAAACAAAACAAAACAAAACAACAACAACAACAACAACAACAACAACAACAACAACTACTCCCAATCAGTCCTACGAGGCCGGGGTCGATTTGGGGAGGACACACGCACATACAGAAGAAAAGGCCGCGTGAAAAAGGGCGTTAGCGTTGAAACGGCGACAACGGCGGTGGCGGCACCCGGTCGTCTGTGGCGGCTGAGTAGAGCGCAGCGTCTAAGCATGTCGACGCTGATCCTCCCACGATGCGCCTACCCTGCCAGGCACCACAGCTGTGTGAGAGCCGTGGCGGACAATGTCTTGCTGTAGCCTAGCCCTTAAGTGGGATAGGGAGTGCCTTTGCGCTCTTACACCAGGGCATCCTGACAGCCCTGTATCGAATCTTCATACCATACCATCCTGACACCAGAGGAGCCGTCCTCCCCTCAAGCCTCAAGCTCAAAAGGGGGGGATCCTTTCTCACCACCCGTGGTTCACCTCCTCTCACCTCTTCACGCCAGGTTGGCAGCAGCATCAGCAGAAGCAGTGGGAGCGCTTGCGCTGGCGGTGGAAGTGTTGCTGGCACTGCCAAGGATACACTCTATATTTGGCTGTACTGATGGTTCCATCCTTCACCTCTGCTCAGACGACTCTCCATGGTGGATACATCAACTTCTGAGATCAACGATGTGAAGGTTGGCAGCCGTATCGGTGGAAGCAGTGGGAGGGCTTGCTCTGTGCTTCTGTCCTTCAGTCGTATTTTAGGGCACCGCCATTCCTTGGTACGTTGTTGTTTCCTGAATTCCTTGAGAAATGAAACTCTTATTGTTCCTTTTGGTTCTGCTACATGCATCGCCTTTAGTGTTTCGTATTTAGAGACACGTAAGGTAAACAGTTCGGACATAGTAATGGGCTATAGTATTGTGGGTGTGTAGGATTTTGGTTTATATTGGTTTTGAGGTTGAAATGTTTGCAGTGGTTTAGGGTTAAACTCAAGGGACTACCAGTAGCAGTGCCTCGAGGAGCAGTGAGAGTGCGGCGAGAGGCAGTAGGAACTTTAGTGGCTTGGTGGTAAGAGAGACCCGGTAAGAAGTAAACTTCAGTTGTATCCATTGGGTGCGTGGTGGGAAACCCATCTAGACAACTCAGGCTCCTTACAGTATTTTGGACAACGATGATGAGAGGGAAGCCTTGACACTGATGATGGACTTTTTGTTATCTGTTTGGAGTTCGAGAAGGGTGGGGTTATCTATATTCATGGCTATATTCACTATGGATTTCTGCAGAAAACATTGACCTCGTTTTCTAGTTGTTTTCTAGGCTAGTATAATTTATGTGCTGCTGTCTTTCAGTTGTATTTTATGGCACCGCTATCCCTCGGTATGTTGTTGTTTTCTGAACTCCGTGGGAAGTGAAATTTGTATTGTTCCTTTCGGTTCTGTTACATGCGTCGCCTTAAGTGTTCCGTATTTAGAAACACGTAATGTAAACAGTTCAGACATAGTAATGGGTTAGTAGTATTGTGGGTGTGTAGGAATTTGGTTTATATTGGTTTTGATGTTGGAATGTTTGGAGTGGTTTAAGGTGAAACTCACGGGATTTGAACGATATGAGAAACCGGGTGAAGAGCAAACTAGAGTTGCATCCATTGGGTGCGTGGTGGGAAACCCGTCT